CGTCAAATGCGCGCTTTCGTCGAGCGCGATTTTGTCGTCCGCGGTTTTGTGGTGGAACCGGTTGTTAATTTTAATCTGAGATGCGGTTCCACCTCCAAAAGTCTGTTCCTTTTTTTTGACTTAATGTCTACAAATGCAGAAAAAAGCAACTTCGCATAAATTCCTTATTTCTTTCCTTGTTCTGTGGGCACAGCTAAGCACGGGGCAATGGATATTCCCACGCGATCCCCACCAAACTCCGGTGCAACTTGTACCCCCACCAATCTCTTCCCGTACCCCTGGGGGGTACGCGTACCACACTTTGGGAAACACCGTTGTACATGTTTGACAAACTAAATAAAATAAAATGAAAAAATAAAATGAATAGCCTGGGTTTGTGTTAGATAACCATTTGCTTCTATTTACAGATAAACTGTCACAATAAAAGTCCATCGGCTATTAGCAATTTTGGCTATTTTATTCCTTTATACGAAAAAAAAAATTGCAAAGAAAAAAATTAGGAAAAGATAACTTTATAAGGCTAAATGACACTTGTTTATAATTCCCCAACCGAAGAACAGCTAATAGGATCCAGTTAGTAGCTAGCGTACAACTCTTGTTACAATTGGGAGCTATCATAAGGCTTTTTTGCCAGCGAAGTTTACTTTGGAAAAGGGTTTGGAATTATAATTAGAAACTATTTCCTGGTGCTGTTTTCAATGCTAAACCAATTCAACTCTGATCTAATGAAAAGGTCAGTTGAAAACTAATTAGGACAGATTGCAACAATAAGAGCAGATTAACTCTGCATATTCTAAACTGTTCGGACTAAGAACAGTTTGGAGGACCTGGGGGATCGTAACTCAGTGGGGGGATTATGCAGATCGCCCAGGGGCTGGGGCTCAAAGCCTGATACTGCAGGGAAAAACAAAGGCTTGATGGGCTCCCCCCCCCAAATCTGAGCAATTTTTAATTACCAAGACCCCCACCCCACCCCCTCCACGTTAGACTTCCATTCTGCACCGCCACCAGCTTTCCCCACATTCTCCTTCCCCTAAACTTACTCTACGGGGTCTTAAGTAAATAAATTTAATGGGAAGCTTCCCCCCCCCCATCCCCTCCCCAGCTCACTCACCGAATGAGTTCTAAGGACAGCAATAATCTTGGAAAGGGCCATGTTCCAAAGTTCGTCCGTGTAAGCTCTCGTGATTAATCCTTGGGTTGCGTGTAAAATGTGATCCTCAACGACAAAAAACCTGAACGAGGTTAACAAATCGTGGGGTTAACGGGACTTTAAGGTGAGATATCATTGATAAGGAGCAATAAAAGCCCAATGCTCTCTCTTTTCCTCTCCCCCTTTCCTCCTCAGCCCCCAAACATGGGGGCTTTCGCTGGCCTTTTGCGCCGTATCGCACCTCTGGCGCTTAATTAAAGGGAATGTGCGAAGAAACCCACGCTCCGCCATTTAATTAGGACGAGTATATCTGAGATGCAGTAATAAATGTGGACGTTTACCCCCGCAAACCGCACCTCAGTGCGGGGGAGCACATTTTTTGTTCATGCATTCATAGAAAGAGCCGAGGTGGCGCAGTGGTTAGGGTGCAGTACTGCAGGCCACTTCAGCTGACTGCTATCTGCAGTTCGGCGGTTTACACCCACCCCTGGTTTAGCGAAGGGGGAGGGGAAGTTGCAATATGTCACGTGATGACAAGGTGACGCCACAGGTTTGATATCCCTGTTGTAGTGGGGAAATGATAATTGTCAGCGGGTACTAGAAGGAATATCTCACTAAGTTATCTACAGACTTTAGATACAATTTTATGTTTTTAAAAAATATTATTAAAAGTTTTGAACAGAACAATAAAAGATAATGCAACTAAAAAAAAGAAAGAGAGAAAAAAGTTCCAGAAAAAATAAAAATGTATTTAATCGTGACCCGACAAAAGGGCGAACGACAAAACCGCGCCNATCATCATCATCATCATCATCATCATCATCATCATCATCATCATCATCATCTGGCAGAACTCAACAAGCAAGAGAACAATTTGCTGTAGAAATAGACTCCATATTGTGCTTGCCACTTCTGCCTTGGCAAAATTTGAATCTGTTTGGCATGGTAAGGAATTCAGAAACAGCTTGGTATGAAATCCATCCTTGGTAGAGCTCTAAGGAATAGAGCTGGATCCTAGATGGCTCCAGTTAATCTGATAAGGGGAAGGTTTTTTTTAAAAACAGACGATCATATCCTTTAGAAAACTACCAACTCTGGCTTGCGGAAATAGAAGCTGATTTGCCAGAAGCCTGAGATTTGCTCCTGAAATTACCCAGGGATTCACTCCACTGTTTGTACCCTACACACCTGTTCCAAGCTGGGAGGAGGAGCCTGAGGTGACCCCTGCTCCATGTGCTTGTCTAATACAGATTGACTCCATGCAATCTTGAGAAAGAATCCTTCACATCATCTACATATTCCCATCAAAGGTGCTAATAATATTTCCCCCACAGTTTCTTGCAGGGGTGATGACATGGAGGTCATCTGAAAACCTCAGGGCATATCCCCAACTGATTCAGTTGCAGTAGCATTCAGCTGGGAGCAGGAGATCCCTTCTAACCTCAACACTTTCCCAATGTGAGTATACACATTTGTTGGTGGCCATGATCTACTATCACCTTGGCAACAAGGCTAGGCTGCCCAGAATTTCTTTCTCAGAGAAACAGTAGGGTCTTCTGTGGGAAATCTAATACAGGATCAGGTAAGACAAGAGGTTCTCCAGAGGTTCTACAAAGGAACCATGATTAGCAATGGAAGCCTATGTTTCCACTACTGCAACTCTTTGCAAAAAAATAGCATGCCAACCTGTTGCCTACATTGAATTATGACATGCAGCATTCCCCCAGTAGTTGGAATTCTGGGAATGGTAGTCCTAACATCTCAGAAGATTTCACAGGCTGAGGAAATCTGTCTACTCTTTCTCCTCCTATCTTCCAAACCAAGATTTGGGGGGGTCTAACATCTCCCAATCACAATATTAAACATTCAGGTCCTCAAGCCCTCTTTATTATTTAGCCTAGAGCATCCACTCTCAAGATCGGTGGATAGGCCCCACCTATCCCCGCGCTCTCATCCAGAAAGTAGGATCCAATACTTACTGGGTAATTCTCCCTTGGCCAGCTCAGCACTAAGCAGCTCTTTATGGCTCAGACTCCAGCCAGGCCCAGGATGAGTGGGAGTGGAAGCCGGACTCTTGGTGAAGATGCCACTGATGAACTTGAGCATTTTTCGGTCACGAGTGGAGGCCCTTCCACCCTCCCGGCCTCTCTTCAGCCCTACTGCGGCCTCTGAGGAGCAAGAACCAGATGAGGCTAAGCTGACTGGGCCATGGTTGAGGTCACTGTTGTCCAGAGTCTTGCTTTTGTTTTTGTGAGGCGACAGTTTCGCCCTGGATCCTCCTCGGGGGACAGTCTCCCCGCTCCCTTTGACTGCCACCTTCATGCGGCCCTTGACTTCACTCTCCGGCCACGACAGGCGATTTGGGGTACCCCCTTTGTGGCTCCCCTTGCTGGCCTTTGGCTCTGTACCCACCTTAGCCCCTGTGGTGGTCACTGTTTTGAAAGGCTTATTTGTGGCCAAGCGGAGGCGGCGATTTCCAGCAGCCGGGTGAGGAGAGGAGGCTCCCGAGTGAGAGAAGGAAGAAACACCCACACGGCTCACCGTCATTTCCATGGTCCCAGGCTCAGGGCCACCCCAGCTAGCGTGGCTGACCAACATCCGGCGTCCAGGTGCAGCGGCACTGGAGGAGCAGCTGGCAGTGGTTGGAGGAGGGATTGGCAACTCATCTCCAGGGATCTCCAAGGTTTCCTTCAACCCAGCCTTGGAGGGGATCAGAGCCACTTCTGGTTTCGGTGGCACACTGGGCAGGACTGGAACCAAAATGGCTTTGGGCTTTGGAGCTACAGCAGGAGCTGATGGGACAAAAGTACCTTCAGGCTTAGAAAGGACAGTGGAGGAGACTGAAGGGCCGACTATCACAGGTGGTTTGGGAGGAGCAGATGAAAAGATAATGCCCACGGGTGGTTCTGGTTTGGGAGGGATGATGGGGGCTATAGAGGGAATTGCTGGTTCGGGTTTGGGCGGCAGACCTGGGGCTATGCATGGCAGAGATGCCTCACGCTGGAAGGGCACCACAGGCTCAGGTTTAGGAGCCAGGGGCGGAGCAATAAAGGGGACAGCTGGCTGAGATTTGGAGGTCAACGCCATATCGGGTTTGGGGGGCACAGCTGGTGCAACAGGGAGCACCAGTGGGTCAGGCTTGGGGGGCACAACTGGAGCCACTGAAGTTCCCAGCACCTCAGACCTTGGCATCATGGCTGGTGCATCCAAGCTGATGGTGGCCCTAGCCTTGGGGGCAGCTGCTGTTAATCCGAGGTTTGGATCCCAAGGGCTGTCTTGGCTGCTGCTGCTGCTAGGTGGGGTCCAGAGAGATCCAGCTCGCCCAGTGCCATCGGGGGATGGGGATGGGCCAGGCGTCTCAGGGCAGCCTGGCGACAACTGCAGTAGGTAGTCGGGAGTGCTGGCGCTGCTGGTGCTAATCCAGAGCGCATCCTGCCGGTGGAAGATGCGCTCTTGCCTCTTGATCTTGGCCGTCTCCTCAGCTTCCTTGTGGCTCTTTAACCCGGAGGGTTCGGCAACTGATGGAAAAGCCATAGGGCTGGAGGGGAGGCTGCCTGCTCTGCCCTCCGGCTGAGAAGCCCCATCCTCAGCCCTTGCCTTCTCATCTTCTGGCGGTGGCGGATGATGCTGCTGCTGCTGCTGCTGTTCCCCTTGCTGGAGCTGCTGAACGGACTCGAGCTTCACAAGGGTCAGGGAGATCAGGTAGGTCGTCCTTCGCTGCAGGGTTGCTCCTCTGCTCATGAGTGCCTGGGGGAACGGACGGCGGCAGTGCCCACACCGTTAGCCAGCATCTGCCAGACGTTTCTCCTCTTGCTGTTGCTGCTGCTGCTGCTGCTGCCGCCGGCTGGGTGGTTGCCACCCCCTCTGGATGGCAGCGGATGCCAGCCGCCAGCTGGAACCCTAATGCCTCCCCTGCTCTGTCCATGCACAAAGGGCAGCTCCAGAGGAATGCTGCAGGAGCCGGAGCATCTCTCCCAAACCTTCCTTATCCCCTTCTCTGCAACTCAGCTGCCGAAGGCCTGAAGGGGAGCATCTTCCAAGCAGCCCCCCCTTGCCAGCGGAAGAGTCCAAACGCCAGAAAGCTGGGGAAAGGGGGTGGGGTGCTCAGCCTCTTTCCAGGAAGAAATCTCAGCCACCACACCGAGCCAGGCGTGGGATGCGGTGGCTTCCGAAGAGGCAGAAGGAAGAAGGCAAAAAAAAAAAAAAAAGGATGGCTGTTCCCGGGCAGAGAAGCCGGCGCAGGGAAGAAGAAGAAGAAGGGGATAAGGGAGGAGATGCGGGGGGAAGAAGGCAAAAAAATAATAATCACAGCTTCGTTGCAAGCAAGTCCCCTTTTGTGGTGCTGCGGCAACCTCGATAGCCCCTCAGTGCAGACCTCATAGTGCTGGCGAGTTGCCAGGATCTTTCACACTTTCCCCCTCCGGTCTTGTCATTTGCAGCGCTCCTACGGTGCATCCTTTGCCCGACGCCCAGCCCTCTTCGTCGGCCTCCCAGCTTGCTGTAATCCGTCCAAGCTGAGCGAGAGGCCAGTCGGACACCTTCTTTCAGCTCTCCCCCACACTCCCCCCTCTCAAATCACCCGCCTCTGCTGCAGCAATTCCCTCCTCCCGTTGGTTTTGGAAGGAGAGGGGGGGGGTCCTCTGTTCCCCCTCCCCTGGGGTGGTTTTCTACTTTTTTTAGCGCATCTTTGCTTTGCACGCGCTCCGTGCAAGCGGCTTCTAGAGCCCTGGCGAAAGCAGCGGCTAGCGGCAGGCAGAACTGCGGAGATCGCGGTGGTGGGTGGGGGAAAAAACGCGTGGAAATCATAAAAAAAAAGCAGAGCTATGTCAGCACTAGCAGCCAACCCCTTCGCTGAGGCTGATTCCCGAAAAATAAAATAAAAAATAAAAAACGGAAGCTCTTCCCTGTGTCACGATCGCTTGCTGTATCCGACGGTCCCGAGTGATGAGGAAAAGAATGGGAGGAGAAGGAAAAAGGATTTTAAAAAATATTTTTTTTAAAAAAGGGGGGGAAGAGGGGGAGGCGGGAGAGACGAGATCTGGAGAGTTATCACATTGAACATACACACGCCAAGAAGTGAGGGCTGCTTTTTTTCTTTGCCGAGACACAAGGAAATCCCGGACTGGATCTCCTCCAGCACACAAGATCTCTTCCCTTTTCTCAGCCAGTCTTCAGACATTACATGGGGCGGGGTCCTTATTCAAGATAGGGCATGTCTGAACCTAACACGCCCTTCCGGTGCTGGCCAAAAGGAGAGGGGGGCGGGAGGGGACCCGGGCGGCGAGCGCAGATGTGACATCTTTCGACGCAGAGCTAAATTAGCTACGCTAATTGACTTCTTCAGTTGCCAAGGTCATCAGTCAAATCTACTGCAAAGTGCTGGGAAGGCCCACATCTGGAGGTTAGCCTCCGCTGCCTAATGCACTCGCACCTTGCCTGCCTGCCTGCCTGCCATGGGATCGGTGGGGTAATTAGAGAGGAAGGGTAGTTACAGGTGGCTAGGAACCTGCCCTGCTCCCCTTCCTTTCTCACAGACAAGCGGGATGGCTCCATCAGGCAAGAGAGACAGGTTCAGGTGTCGAGTTGGTCATCTAAATTGAATGACTTTTTAATGCAGTATTGATTTAGCCACAAGTGTTTGGTGCTGCGGAGAACATCCAGCATTTGGGGATATTGCCCTGGGGGAACTGCATTCTCATCCATTGGGATATGCAAGGGTGTAGCATCCCCACCAAATCTGGGCTGCAAAAATCCCAGTGGCTACTACCTGATCATTGGTTCATTTGGCCAGATCTATTAGTCTGTCAGGTGCAGAGAATCAGGATCCCATGTTCCAATTAAGCTGACTTATTGCTCATGCACAAGAACAAGAATTGGTGCTAGATCATGGAAGTCAAGGAGGGCTGGACTTGGCTCACTTGTGGGATTATAATGACTCTGGGCTGATTCCACTCTTGACTCCGCCCCCAGACTCTGCCTTTCCCCCCCCTACATAGTCCTAAATCTAATCATTGGAAAATGGTTGGCAGGTTTTTTTTAATGCTCCAGACATTTGATTCACCATGTTCCTAGAATGCGTTGCCACATTACCTCATTCAGGATATAAGGGGAAGTTAGGGTGCGATTGCATAGGCTGCTGCACAATTTTCCTTAACTACTCTGTAATCTATTGTTGGGTGGGTTTTCCCAATACACTGATCCATATATTATGTTTTATCAACTATGTTAGTAGTTCATGTAATACTAAGTCACAAATGAACAAAACACAGTGAAAGTCTTGCGCCAATCCAGCCAATAATTAGTTGATGTCTGAATGGTATGAACAGAAGAATTGGGTTAATTCAGTTAACTATGGTTTAAAATGGTATTCAAACAAAACTCTGAATTTTATATATCACACTAAGATATACTTTGCTTCATTATTAAATTAAAAAATGCATTTTTAAACAAAAATTAATGTGACTTCTATGTATTGTTTATTAAGCACTCATAGTATGCAGAGTTATAATCCAGAGCTATATGGGCAACCATATAAATTTTACAAATAAATAAAAATAAACTTTATTGGATTTATTAGATGCATGTTACAGCAATAAATGATTGCTGAATATTACAAAGTCTTAGATAACACGTCAAGTGAAATCCAGACCAATCACAATTAACCCTAATCTAAAAATAACCTGTGACGATCTGTACATTCATACAAAATAGTAGCAATAAGTCCTTGTGGTTGTATTTTCATAGCACATTGGCTGGTTTCCTACAAAAAAGTAACATCCCCAAAAAGTGAACATTATTTTACCGTAGCATGTTTGTGTTTTGTGAACCCAGCCACACAGAAGTCTTGAATATATAGTGAAAATATATATATAAATATATACCTTTCACCCTGGCCTCGCTGATAAGGAGTNCTCCGTTCCCGCCTCGGGAGGAACGGAGGAGAAGGGAAAGTGCTGAGATCTGTTAACAGATTAGTTAATCTGTTAGTCGCTGTCGTGTAAAATATTTTCCGTATACCCCGCCCACTTTTATACCCCGCGGGGGGCATGCGGGGTAGGTAAAAACGCACATTGCCCGCGGGTTATATGCGTGAAAATACGGTAATTGTTATTGGTGTCCATGTTATTATTCTTGATTTTTTGTGTGTGTTGTAAGCTGTCCAGAGTCATTTGATTTGGTAAGGCTATAAAGCCTGTGGAAGTAATAAATAAATTCCGGTGCTACAAATGTTAAGTATTCTTCAGAATTTTTCTACACTACTTTTCCCCATCCTGATCCTTCAAAATGCTGGTTTTGGATGGTGACCATTGTATTCCAAAACTACTAGGGGACAAAAGTTGGAGAAAGCTGATCAAGAGTTTTTCAAAAGTGGTCTGCTATTGCCTCTTTCCTAATGCTGAGAGAAACAATTTAGTCTTGGATATTTTCATAACTAGGATCGGCTTTCTGTAAAATTGCAAATAAACTTCTCCTCCCCATTCCAAATTTTTCTGGTTCGAATTTTGAAGCAAGATAAATGGGACAGTTTTGAGGGTGGGCTGCAATGTAAGCTGCCGTTCTTACATTCATTATGATTATCTTTTTCCTTTGCTTCTGCAACCCTTCACAAGGAATTTTTGTAGTGTGATTGCGCTGCCTCAGTACAGATACCAAACCCTTTGGGCAGTTTCGGCTCATTTATTTGCTATTAGTCAAATTGTTGCTGTTTTATATGTTAAGAGGGGGAATGCAAGTGTTTGGATTGTCTTGATCTGAAGCGGCTTTTAATAATACTAACACTAACCTCAAATAATTGCTTTAAAGGGAAAAGAGGTGAAAATAAATGCTGCCTTTCCCCCACTTTCTTCTTCCTCCCCACAGCCTGGGCGTCTTTCTCTCTCAAACCTCCCCCACCTCACCCACCCATCCTTTTCATTTTGCTCAGAGTTGCCAGCTGCAGCCTAGCTGTCTTCACCATTATTTCAACTGTAGCAAATTGTCCTGAAATCATGGACGGGTTCATGATGTGAAAGGAGCAAGTAGGATTAAGTCAGAGAAGTGAGCTTCCTGGAACACAGGACCCCTGTTCTCTGAGCAAAAGAGATTGCATCCTGCCTCCTGGGGCTGCCAGCTGCTTTATATTACATAATAGTCGGTGTCTCCCAAGTTGATGAGAGTTGCCTGTTGTGTTTTCTCTCTCTCTTCAATTTATTGTGCTATTTCACCCTCCCCCTTTTTTATTTTCTCTGTAACTTGCATCACTTCTGTTCAGGAGACTCTATGCCACTGAAAATTCCAGATACATCCCAACTCTCTGAGTACGGAAAGATGATTTTCATTTTGTCCAGAGACACCGATATGTCACACACTTGGCAACATAGTTGTGAAAATTGGGAGAATAAGACCCCCCCCATTTTAAAATGTAGTTTAAATTTTATAAGTTGTCTTGATTTGGGGGGTGGAATACATTATATTGGACAGCACCAGCTTTTGTGTATTTCTTCTTTCCATATTTTTTTCTGTGCTATTTTTAAAAATATCTTTTAGTTTTTTATTATTTTATCCCTTTTAACCCATTTGCTTTAGTGTCTTAAATTATTTGTGGTCTGTCTGTAAACTCTTCGGATTTGATGCATTTGAAAAAGTTGAGGGATCCTGTCATGAAACAATACATTGCTTAGGTATTTTTAAAGAAGTAACAGGAAAAATATGTTCTTCCACAGCAGTGTTACTCAACCTTGGCAACTATATGATATGTGGACTTCAACTCCTAGAATTCCCCAGACACCCATCTTAAACTAGCTAAGGTTGAGAAATACTTTTAAGTGAGTTATGTATGTTCTATCCTTATATTGCTGCTATCGAAACTTCTTTCCATTCTGGAAGTCTTATGTCTTATTTTAGTGTTGTGACTTAGAAAGGAGAGTATTGATAGGCTTAATACACTGTATGGGATAATTTTAGAGGAAGAATAAAAATTACATTTATCATTCAATTCTGATCAACTGAAGTTTGTGTTTCCCTGCACTGAATAAAACTACAAACTTGGTGGTGACAATAAATGTTTCATTGGATCCAAGTGTTACTGAAATTATTCAAACTGATCTCACAGATTATTGGGAGAAGATATTTGTGGAAAGACTCAAACCTTCTCGTTGACATATCCTTCTGTTCCAATGTCTCAGTACTCTCTGATACGGCAGCATCCACAGGGAGGTGCCAAAAAAGTTAAGATGGAAGTTATACCCCACTTCCTTGCAGATTTTGCTCCACTAGTAGTGGCCCACTATGGGGGTAGTGCTCATCTCTGTTTCAAGGCCATTGAGCCAGATGTCTGAAGATGTGGCCATCCTGATGTCCTGGATGTCCTGTTACTTTCCCACCAAAGTTGTACATATTTATCTAATCTAGCCATAGTGGCAAAGATATTAGAAAGCAAGGCTAATTCAGCTCACTCACCGGATCAAAGTTGATTCATCCTTTCATCCTTTCCAAGATT